AAATGAATTTTATTAATTGAAAAAAAAATAACTAGGATATACAAGGAAACCAAGACAGAATATACATTGTAGCCAATGACAGTACCTGCTTTACAAATGAATATTGTAGCCATAGGAATGTGGATGGAATAAAGAAGCAGCTTAAGTGATTCCAGATGACAGACACTTAACATGTGCTACCGGCTCTCACGAGTGTATTCGTAAACGACTTAATGATGGGACAGGTAGGCAATGCATTTCAGAATCCAAGGCAAGAGGGAAAGATATAGATAAGAAAATGGCAAAGGCTGGAATGAGCCTTGCACACATGCACAACTTATTATAATGCACATGTTCCATATTTTCTTGACTAGATGGAAAGCAGCAAACCCCAGTCATCCTGTTTCCAACCCTTTTGGAAAACTGGGGCTACTGGTGATCAGGGGGCACCTCCTTGGGATCGAAATTCCTATAGCAGGTGTTTGTAACTGTTGAGCCATCATTCTAAACCCTAGAATCTGTATATTTTTTTTTTTTTGTGTGTGTGCTTTCTGAGTTTTAAGCTTACTAGGACTGCAAGTCACATAGACTCTTCATTATAGAGTGATGGAGAGCACTTAGTGTTTTTGTAGCACATGGAAAATCAGGAATGAAGTAATAAGCTTACTTAAGGACTCAGGAGGATGACAGGTAATTTTAACAACTCCATTTACCTATAATGCAATAGCATAGGACACTGTTAGATGTATCTCAAAGGTGGAAATAATTTAATCTAGTTTGCCCATTAGGGTTAATGAGTTCTATATATTTATCTTCATACATTTTTACAATATTTTATGTATATAGGTGTTTTGCTCACAGGTATGTCTGTGCACCACATGCATGCCAGGTACCCAAGAGGCCAGTAGAGGGCATCAGATCTCCTAGATGGTTGTGAGCTGCCTTGTGGGTGCTGGGAATTGAACCCATGTCTTCAGATAGAGTAGCTTATGTTCTTAAGGGCAGAGCCACCTCTCCAGGCCCCTGATTCTTTGCATTTTATTTTTATTTATGTGCCTATGTGAATGTATGCTACATGCTACTGGGTACTTATAGAGGCCAGAAGAGGACACTGGATTCCTTGGAGCTGGGGTTACAGGTGACTATCCAATGTGGATGCTAGAAATTGAACTAGGATCCTCTGGAAGAGCAGCACATACTCTTAACCACTGAGCTATTTCTCCAGTCCCTAGTCCTTGATATTTTGATTGAGTGAGGAAAAAGAGGCATGTATTAAGGCTTGACTTATTGAAGAAGATGTCTGGCTAGTCTGTTTCCATCATTCCACAAAATCATAAAACCTGGCCATTTAGTCATTTACTTAACTGAATGATTTTCAAAGTGAGATATGAGAACAGACAGAATCGCTATATCACCTAAGGGAAAATTTTCTAGAAATACAACTTTCCTCCAAACCCTTCTGCTGGTTTCCTCACATACCTCCCCAAGGATGCCTATCCTAACATTGCTCATAGTGTGGGGGTCAGACTGTCGAAGATACTTTAAAAAGGGAGGTCTACATTTACTCAAAAACCACAAGATGATTTGTATACAACAACATGTGCCTTTCAGAGAAAAAGTGGTTTGTAAAGATTATATCTCAAAAGGAGATAGGTCTCTAGAATAAGATGACAAGGGAATGGATTTTTGCTAACATTATTGGTAAATGCCTTAAACTTAACAATGTAATCATTTGAAAATACTCTGCAGTGTGAGGTTTAAGGCACAATGAGTCCTAATTAGTGTTTTAATAAGTGTGTTAGCACTGTCTTGTACCATTCTGGAATGTCACTCATGGTAAATGAAAGGATACTTTCCTTCCCTTATCTTCTGTTAGTATTTTAATGCTAGGAGGTGGGAAAAGGCTGATCCATATTCAATAGGAAAGGAGGGAAAACAATAACAAATTGGCATCTCTTCTGTGAATTGCCCCACAGGCCAAGCATTTTTATGTTCTTAATCATTATTAAATGACTTAACATGACATCCAGAGCCTGGCGAATGATTGCATCCTGACATGAGAACGAATTACAAATGAAATGAAAGATCAAGCTGTATTAGAGGACTGCCTCTGGGAAATGAAAATCTTTAATTCTCTTTTATTATTGACATTTATTTGGCTGCCATGAATAACAACACAGCACAGAGATTCAACTACGCTTGTGCACTGAATAGCTTATCCCAGGGCTCAAAACTGTATTAACATTTATCATGTTTGCTTTTGTAGCTGACACCACCGAACAGATTCTCTATCCATCTTGAATTTATCATGCATTGCAATATACTGCATCCTCTAAGTTCATTTTCATATGGTAGGAACAGCAAGATTAGTGTCTTGCCTCAAATAAATTCCTGATTATAAGCATTCTTAAGAGTGGTGTAATAGATTTAATAAAGCATAAAGTAAGATCAGAAAAAATTCAGTTACAAGGCTAAATAACAGTCTGGAGAAAGTCATGAAAAATTGACAGTGAGGAAGACACTTGTATGAAATATGTTTCTGGATATAGGAAGACTTAAAAAGAATGCTTCCGCAAAGAGTATGCCAATAGCTTTATGAATCTGGAGGCAGTATTACATTTCTTATAAGAAGGGGGCATGGTTTAAGACAGGAATGGTCCATATACCATAAGAAGACAGTGATCTTGTCTGTGTCATGTAGAGATACTCTTTCTTGGGTTCTTTTCTCTCATGAAAATTAACAGCATGCCTTTTCCTGTCACAGCAATGAAGGACTGCACATTACCCGTGTCTTTGCTTACATGATCCTCCTTGACTGGAATGCCCCCTTATTTTAAACTTCTCTTAAATTCAAGGTTTAGTAATGATATTTACCTATTTGGGATAGGCACTTAACATTTTTTAATTTTTCAATGGTTTTCTGCATTGAAAATTTCAGATATATACATGAATAGGTATAATGGTACCATAATTCCCCTTGTATCCAATGCTTTACTTCAATAATAAACTCCTGACCAGTTTAGTTCATGGATTTCACCTAACTCTTCTATCCACTGACTTTTTTTTTTCTTTTTTTTTTTTTTGAGACAGGGTTTCTCTGTAGGTTTTGGAGGCTGTCCTGGAACTCTCTTTGAAGACCAGGCTGGCCTCAAACTCACAGAGATCCCGCCTGCCTCTGCCCTCCGAGTGCTGAGATTAAAGGTGTGCGCCACCACCACACAGCCACTGACTTCTTTTGAAGCAAATCTTGTATGTCTTTTGACAAGTCTACAACAAGAAGGTTAATTCAACTACTTCTTATGTGTATCTCTTTACCCAAATCGGTCAATAATTTCATCAGTGACCCTTTCCAGGCTTTATATATTCACTTTGTTAAAAAGTTACTACAGGGGCTGGAGAGATAGCTCAGCAGTTAAGAACAATGACTGCTCTTTCAGAGGACCCGGGTTCAGTTCCCAGCAACCACATGGCAGCTAACAACTGTCTGTAACTCCAAGATCTAATACCCTCACACAGACACACATGGAGGCAAAACACCAATGCACACAGAAATAAATAAATTATTTTTAAAAGTTACTTTAGTAGATGTGGTGGTACACAGTTGCAATCTCAGCACTTGGAAGGCTGAGACAAGAGAACTGCTCCAAAGTTTGAACCCAGCCTGGGTATGTAGAGATTACAAGAAGAGCCTAGAGAATGAGAACCTGTATCAAAAATTAATGAAAAAAATTATTTATTTTCAGTAGAATGTCTTTCTTCAAGCTTTGTTGATCTTTTAAGTCAATATTACCCACAAATGAGAATAATTATACTTTATATTTAGACTATATTCAACATTTTATGTATATTAAATTTTAATATGTAAGTGTATAAAAATTTTATTTTGCAAATCTTTAAATATTATGTTATATTTAGTGTTTAGCTGAGTACTGAAAAAACACATTGGTAATAATTATATTACTGTTTATAAAAATCATTAACTAACCATTTGGATTTAAATGAACCATTCAGACACAATTAAAAGACTTATATTTATTTGAATACTAGCTAAAATATAAAATACAGTAGCCTAATATTGAAAATATTAATTATTTTAGCCAATAATGTTTGTTCATTAGATGAAATTCCTATTTAATGTCTATGATTGCTATAAAAACAAACATGAGATCTTCCTTCCTTTCTTTTTTGTTTTCTGAGACAGGCATTCTCTGTGTAGCTTTGGAGCCTGTCCTAGAACTCATTCTGTAGATCAGGCTGGCCTAGAACTCACAGAGATCCACCTGCTTCTGCTTCCAGAGTGCTAGAATTAAAGCCATGCGCCAACACTGCCTGGCCAGATTTTTCTTCATGAAAGAGAATCTGAGGTTATCATCAACAACCTGACTCTTTGGGAACCTGGGGTAGGAGGATTACAAATTCAAGGTCAGTCTGGACTACACAAGGAATTGAAGGTTAGTATAGGGTATATAATGAGACATTCTCTTAAGCTTAAAAAGTTATATAAAATCAATGGCTGGGGATAAAACTCAATGGTAGAGCACTTGCTTAGGATGAATAAGGCCCTAGATAAGCTTTTCAGCATTAGGCTGGGCATGAGATAGGGGTGGGTGAATCTCTGTGAGGTGGAGGCTAGCTTCATGTACATAGTGAGATCCAGGACAGCCAGGAATACAGAGAGACTGCTTCAAAAAATAAAAATAATAAATTCCTACTATTGCAAAAACAAGACAAATTAATAATGACAGGAAAGAAAATCAGAAGAAACATTTTGGACTTTACTTGCTCATAACTGAATAAATGTTTATATGTAAAACGTATTATGTTTGAAAAGAAAGATATTTCTGGGCTAAAAAAATCCCCCCAAACTTTAAAAGTAAACAAGCTACATCAATAAACGTAAATTGTAATCTTGAAAGGAGAGGAATATAGTTAAACTGTAAAAGACACGTGATAGAAAGACTATAGAATTTGTCATGATTAATCTCCTTAGCACTGGATTTTTCACATAGTTCCAACAGTACCTGTAGCCACTACAGTGTCGTCTCTCCCTTGTGTGAAGACCACGGTCCTCGGCCTCTTCGAGTTCACCTTTGCAAGAGCCTGTGCCTTTTTGGCTATCTCTTTAATGTCTTTAGTCTATTAATAGAGTGAAAAAATTCATAATCAGTAGAGTAAGGGCAAATTTTATTAACATTTTAACACTTTTGCTTCTGATGGCACCTGAGTATCTACCAGGGAACATTTGAAAAGAAATTTTTAATCATACAGAGAACAGCACACAAGCTCCTCTCATGAGTCTTCCCAAACTTCACATTTATGATGGACTTTATTTCGTCTTCACTTTCAATACCTGCCATGCATTTTATTTCAAAGCAAAGGTTTGCTTTATAATTTAATCTATAAATGTGCAAGTATGTTAACTCTGAAAGATAATGACTAACACACAACATACATAATCATGATATACTTTAAACATTTTGTCTGACTTACCAAAAGAACCAGGTTCAGTTCCTAGCACAAAAACAAACCCAAAATATTTTAAATCTTCTGTACCTCAGTAGAGTGTTTTTGGGTGGGCATGCTGCCACTTGGTAGAGCAACTGCTTGGCTAGCACAAAGTCCCAGGAAGTCCCCACCACCATAAGAAGTCCTTATCACCAGCAAATAAATATTAAGTCAAATATCCAATTACAGAGGTTTTAAAGAATTATTCATCATTTTTGAGGCAGAATCCTCCTGTGTAGCCCAGGCTGGCCTGAAGCTTGTAATTTTCCTGTATCTGTCAACACAGGCTGGAAATATAAGTGTGAGTCACTATGCCCAAGTGAAGGGAGTCTTTCTTTTCTAAATTTTTCTTTGTTACATTAGATGTTTACAGAATATAATTATGGTGACATGGGAAATAATAAAATTGAGATAATGTCAATTTTTCAAAGATCTGATTGAGAAAAAAAGAAATGGTTATGCTACTTAACTCTAAAGACTTAATTTTCCATAAGAAAGGGCATTTAGAAAAATATGACAGAATTAAAGTAGAGAATCGAGTAGCTGTACATCCTTCATGTCTCATGGTCAGAAATCTGACTTCATTGTCCTTCTCATCACCTAATATTGTCCTTTTGTGCTTTTTCTTCTAAATGCTCTACTATACTAACATACAGATTTGTTTACTTTTTATATATATTTATACTCACTGCTGGCTAGAATCAGCATATAAGGGAAAACATCCATTTTTTTTCTTTCTAGATTGTGTGAATTTGCTCTAAGCCCATCACTTTTCCTGCTAATTTTAACATTTCTATTTTCATTTAGAGCTGAAAAATATTTTAAATATTTACCAGATTTTCATTATCCATCGATCTGTTGAAAGACAGGAAGCCTGGTAACATTTCCTTGCAAATTAAGCAACAATAGACATGGAGTTGCAACTATCTCTATGATAAGGTATGGAGTTTTCTGAGAATATACCCAAGAGTGGAATAGCTGGGTCATATGGTAGTTTTATTTTTAATTTTTTTGAGAAACCTCCAAGTTGATAAGCATGTGTGTACTAAATTCCACCCCCACCAGCAGTGAATAAGGGTTCTTTTTCTATATCCTTGCCAACATTTGCTGTCAGATTTCTTGATGATAGCCATTCTGGAGTGAACACCTTTAAAAATAATTATTGGCCATTTGTGTTTTTTATGTTGAAAACTGTCTATACACTTTCTGTATTTTCATCTAGAAATTTCAGTTTTCACAGGTCTCTGATCTATTTTGAATCAATGTTTGTCCAAGGAGAAAGATATGAACCTAATTTCATTCTCTTGTAGGTGAATATCCTGTATTCCCAGTACCCTTTGTTGATCAGGCCATTTGTTTTTCTTTTTCTTTTGTAGTAGCTAAGTGCAAAAAAATCCCCCAGAGAAGCTCCACAGCTTCAGAATCGCTCTTCTAACAGCACAAGGGTCCCCTGAGATGTAGAGTTTTCGCCCAGGGAAAGTGTTTGTTTGAAAGGCTACATTAATGTAGCTTCATGATGTTTTTTATGAGTTTATTACAATAAAATAATTTTTTTATTTACAAAAGAAAGAAAAGGCAGTTAAGCCTGCATGGTAGTACATGCCTGTAATTCTTGCACGGGGAAGGCAGAGGCAGGAGGATTGGTGTGGTAAAGCTATTCTGTTCTACACAGGGAGTTCCAGGCCAGCCAGAACTACACAAACAAAACAAAACAAGAAACGAAGAAAAAGAAAAGAAAGAGTTACAAAATTACAAGCTAGCCAGTGTATGCACTTGGGAGACAGAGGCAGACATATTTGAGTCTGAGGTCAGTCTGGTCTGTAGAGGGAGTTCTAGAATAGCTGGGACTACATAGAGAAACTCTGTCTCAAACAACACAACACAACACAACACAACACAACACAACACAACACACACATACCCAAAAACCACCACCATCAAAAAAGCCAAACCAACCAACCAACCAACCAACCAACCAAAAAAGCCAAAACAAGTTATTTCTCAACACCTTGATCTTCCTCCTCTTCCTCTTTCACTCTCCCTCCCTCTCCTCCTAGACAGGGTCCCTCCATGTAGCCCTGGATATCCTGTAACTTACTTATGTATATCAAGCTGGCCTCCAACTCACCTGTCTCTGCATCCAAAGTACTGGGATTCAAGTCATGTGCCACCATGCCTGGCTTTGATGCCATTTTTCATATCATACAGATATGAAACTTTATATGATAAACATTTTAACTTGAAAGACAAATGACTGAGTCAGGTTTGGAGACCTATATTTGTAATACTAGCACTCTGGAAGTTGAGGCATGACAGCAAGTTCAAGGCCAGTTTGGACTCTCTAAGAGAGACAGACAGAGAGGAAGGCAGGAGGAGAAAGGAAGACAAAGCAAAGAAGGAAAGATGAAATAAAAAAAAAAGAGGCATTAGTTTTAAAAGTCATGTTTTCAACCATTTTTATTATCAATTAATTAAATATGCATTTTTGAGACAGGGTTTCATGTACTTAGGGTGATCTCAAATTCTCTATATAGTCAAAGTGGGTTTGAACTCCCATTCTCCCATCTTCACCTCTCAGGTGACTGCTTGGATTGCAGATCTGTACTACTGTGCCCAGTTTATGTGGTGCTGGGATGGAGCCCATGGCCTCACTCATTCTAAGCAAACTCTATACTGACTGAACTACATCCCTGTTCACCTTCTCAGCTGTCTTAAGAGAAAATCCAGGGCTTCATTTGAACTACTACTAATGCTGGCCATGGACGGGACAGTTTAGGCAGTTTGCCTGATCACTGTGCAAAGCTTCACATGTTTAAGAAGAAAGAGACACAAGCCAAAGAAGAAATGTTTAACTCTCTAAATGAAGGATACATAGGATGGAAAAAAATCATATACAAAGACAGAGGTTTAGGTAAGCAAAGCAGGAGTCATCATAGCTTATAACAGTTACAAGCAACACAAAAACACTGATATTTAAGAAAGCCCGACAGGCAGGCATGGTGGCATAAGCCTGTAATCGTAGTGCTTGGGAAATGAAAGCAGTAAAGTAATGAGTTTGACACCAGCTTGGGCTTGCTCGCTTTGACATTGGGCCTGGATTAGCTCACTTTGACACTGGCCTGGGCTTGTTCACTTCTTTGATACTAGCCTGGGTTAGCTCACTTTCGGCACTTATTTTAAAGGAGAACAAGCCTCATCTCTGATAAGAAAATAAGTATTGAAGGGTGGCACTGGGAAATCATGATGCAGAAGGGCAGAACTGGTGGCTCATTCACAGCTACCACAATGGGCATATGATGTTAATCAGAGCAGTGACTGGTTGCTACATTTATACTTTCCAGCCATTTCTATCTATCCTTGTACTATAATAAAGTTTTTATTCCCATTCCCAACCCCCACCAAAAAGAAAAAGAAAAACAAGAAATCCCTTAAATTTTTTGGAGATAATCAGAAACAATAACATCTGAAAAGACCCAAAATGCCATACAATAACAAGGTTTTCACTGATAAATAATGCATATTTAATTAGAATGACTCATTAAGTCAATCTCTATTCTACAAATATACTTTTCCTACTAAAAGATTTTTATGATTACATATAGCTCATATGTAATAAAAGGTAGAGTCTAGTAAATTGGGAGCAGAGTCTTATGAACTAGATGCACTTTTTAAAAATCAATTAAAATATTTGTTTATTTTACTTGTGTGAATGTGGAGGCCAGGGGACAGCTTGAAGGAGTCAGTTCTTTCCTACATGCAGGTTCTGGACATCAGACTCAGGCTGGCAGGCTTGGCAGTATTGCCCACTGAGTCACCTTGCCTCATTTTTTCCATTTTTTGAGTTGAGTTTCTTCGTACATGCCCAAGCTAGTCCCAAATTCCTTAGATTTCAGTTGTCATCTATTTAAGCCTTTAGAGTAGCTGAGACTCCAGATACATGCTACTGGACACAAGTAAATTTTAAATTTTATTTATTGTTATTATTATTATGACTATTATTATAATTTTTTTGAGACAGGGTTTCTCTGTGTAGCTTTCAAGCCTGTCTTGGAACTCACTCTGTAGACCAGGCTGACCTCAACCTCACAGAGATCCACCTGCCTCTGCCTCCTGAGTGCTGGGATTAAAAGTGTGTGCCACCACTGCCTGGCCTATTTCTTATTTTTTTTTAAACAAATCAAGTTTCCAAAATACTGTAAAGAATAATTTTTAAAAATTTTATTTATTTTTATTTTATGTGCAATGGTGTTTTGTCTGCATGTGTGTTTGTGTGAGTGTGTCAGATCTTGGGAGTTACAGACAGTTGTGAACTGCCTGTGGGTGCTGGGAATAGAACCCAAGTCCCCTTGAAGAGCAGTCAGTGCTCTAAACCACTGAGAACAAATTAATGGTAAGATTGCATGATTTCTTTTTACCAACTCCTTGGGAAAATAGTTTACTGTCATAGTTTGGCAATTCAATGAAAAAAAAAAACTTACCTCTCAAATTTAATCTTATAAAAGTGGCAATTCAAGATTGAAACAAACTTTTCAAATACAAGCCAGAAACTTTTCTGGATTGATGTAACCTTTATTCTTATTGTACTCACATCCGCAGTTTACACCAAATCTTTTTATTGCTCACTCTAGGAT